CCTTTTGAAGCAAAGTTCTTTGATAGAGGGTATTGAGATCCTAATGTTTATTTGGTACTCGATGGATGTTGAGGGTAACAATCGATTGGAAAGGAAAAATAGATGAGGGCTTGTTTTGCATTAGGAGTAGAATAGTTGCTGTCGAACTAGCCTGGGTGGTGACTCAGATCGCTACTGATGTTGAAAGCATTGAATGCACAAAGGGTGCAAAGCGATGCAAAATGACGGCATGTCAGGTGACGTGAAGCGTGGCCATTCTCATTTTATTTACTGGGGTTGTGAAGCTTAATGCTTATTTGTTCGTTGCTTCACGTCTAGAGCAACCAGGAGCTTGCATACTGATCCTTCCATCTCGACTGTATCCAACCTGATCACCTCACATTCACAGGTTTGTAGGAATGGGCTCACGGAGTAATTTCGGTGGGGAAGACATGGCGACGAGCCGGGACTCGTGAGAGACTGGATTACAACAGACTGCAATCTGGACGTGATGGCACACGAGACAGGGTTTTTGTAAGCGGTACGTCACTTAGCCCTTGCCGGTGGCGATGGCTGGACTAAAAAGGAATCAAACTATAGATTTATCCCATGTTTGATTCACGCTCATCGTGTGCCCCTTCTGCAGTTTTGTAGCAAGTTATTCGTGGTCAGTAACCTCGCTATCCCCTACTCCCATCAAGTCTCACGAAAATGATGCTCAACAGACTACATTTCCTCCTTTGGAACTACCTCCCAATCTTGTTCCCTTAACCATTGCAACTAAGCTACTTAATGAATGTAATACACACTTTTAATGCATTTTCTAATAGATTGTCCATAGGAATCCGGCAGTATTAGTTTTATTGATAGATATTCAAGAACTTGATGCGTATCATTTTCTTTCAAGAAACACATTTGAATTCAAATAAATAAAATACGAATTTAACAGAATGAAAAACATAATTGCAGAGGGTTCATGATAATCACTAATCTTGTGATGTGTTTGAACTTGGGCATTCTATGACATTTGAATAACCCTGAATAGCGAGGTTACTGACCACGACATTTGAATTCATTCAAAGACCTAGTTTGAGAGTATTTCCTGTAAAAATAAATTTCAATAACTATGATAATCTGCAGTTTTAAAAAATAATTTATTACATATGTAATAAATTGACTAGATTTTAAAATGCCGAAGTTTGGTACATTATTTTTTCATGTTTTGTAAATAAATAAACAAAAGAAAAAGAAGAAGAAGAAGAAGAAGAAGAAGAAGTGAGAGAGAGAGAGAGAAAGCAACCAAGCCTTGCATTTACGTACAAAAAATATCATGCTTATTTTCATGCACATGTATTGGCTCTAATTTTAGACAAATGATTGCAATATAATACCTTGCTCCCTTTACTATTTATGAAATGAAAGTAAAAAGCTTGTGACTCTTTTCTAGGGAGGGAACACTGTACACTTAACACACAATAGGTGGTAAGAAAAGCAAGGTACTGGAGTGATGCGGACTGGACCAACGTCTGGCCACAGTAATGCCCAGATTCTCAACGTCTTCATCGAGAATTCAAATTGAGGATGCCGGTTTCGGCATCATGGTCTTGATTATTGTTTCATGACCCATGGAGTAATTTTCTTTTGTCCGTGGAAAGGAGCTCTGGCACCAGGATCCAAAATCCGTTATTATCTAGTTAAAGCATCGAATCTGGTCCTCTATGAAAGCACAATTGTAGTAATTGAGTGACCGAAGAAGGTGACCAATCTGTGATAGATTGGAGAGGATTATGGTCCCCATGTTTCCCTTGCTTTATGATAGATACCCTCTCAATCTGCCACTGAATCCCTATCTGTATCCAGCATGATCTTGTGCTGTACCATGGCTCCAAATCTTAGAGCAAGTTCGTCGGAGGAGGATCGCTTCCGAATTCGACGCAGATCTTGCTTTAGGTGTTGGATGCTGGTGAGGTGATGAAAAGGTATTGAGACTTGAAGTAGCGGAGAGATTAAACTTCTATTCTCTCTAGGAAGCAGTTGAAAATTTCTCGGATGTAATTTTGTCGACAATCACACAGTGTGTGTCTGATGATTTGAAAACAAGTGCAATAGTCCAACTTTCTCCTTGGCGACCGTCGAGTTCTATTCAACTTGTTCTCTGCCTCCCATCATCTCTTGCAATCGCTGTGACAAATTCCTTCTATTTCTTTCGTGTCCCATGGTTCTGTTCCGCTGCCGTTGTGAAGAGAGAATGTGTCATAACTGGTGTAAATCCTGTGGCATCCGGCTGTTGTGTGATAAGTCCGTAAAGTTATCAGTCAAAAAGTAACTTGACGCATAAGCATCTCTCAAAAACCGTGTCTTGTGGTGTCTTCTAATCATGCAGTGTGTTGTTCAAGATTCTAGGATGACAAATTGCCTTGAGATATATGGCTTGAGATTTGGAATTCCTTTTCATGCACACTCGTTGGTCCTGAAGAACCAGCGAAAAGATTGATCATGGATACCCTTATTCAACGGTTGTTCACTCAAATATCCAGAATACCGTAGTTGAATAAAGCAGTATGCAGTTTGGTAAATCAGAAAGCAACTACCGAGAGGCAACTGTACAAATCCTGGTCTCCTTACTAATTGACCCATTATACAGGATGATCAGTGGGTCTCAAGTGAAGGTTGACATGAGCGTGTTACTCGACTCCAGGGGTTGAATTTGGCGCAGAGCAGTATTGATCGAAACCCGGGTGTGGGAGTACATGTCACCACTTCAAATATGGGATTGTACACTCAAGTTCGTCGTTACTCGACAAAGCATTAGAAGGCCGACCTTAGGCTGCTGCGATACGAAAAAACCGCAGCTCTGATTTCAGTGAGGGATTTGTTATCAAATCTGTCACCGCCTCGATGTTTCCGACTACTGTAGTTTTCCCTTTCTTACCACCCATTCTGTCTTGGCACACAACTCATCACCTGTGCAGATGTAACCAGATGCTAGAACGCGTGATCAATTCAACGAGAAATGTAACAAGCTCCTCTAGATTCAAAAGGTTAACTCGAATTGCCGTTAACAATGGTGGAACTCCGGGATCACCCTCGCCACTACAGATCAACGAAAAAACAAGCGATCGTAAACACATACGCTCAAAACCCTAAGTATAATAACAAACTTTTCTCGCCCAAACTCAGGCACTTTGGATGACTGTGGGGCTTGGTATAATCGAATGACGATTCTAAATGAAAAACGTTCATCCGTCTGCTATTAGCAATAATGTTATTCTTATTATTAGGGGAATGCTAAATAAACCCAATTTTTATTTAAAATGATAAAATTTTGGAAGATAAAGTTTTAAAAGATCAAAATACAAATCAATGGCAAGCAGTTCCAATTAAAAGTATCTTTATCTTACAGTCATAAATAAAATAAAAGCCAATTACAACCACAAATCACAATCACAAATAAAAACCTTCACCTGATGGAGGTATAGAATCAATTGTGGATGGTGAATGTTGTGGTGGTGACAACACTAAGTGCGGTTGGATCACTAAATTAAATTAAATAAGAAATAAATAGAATTAAATATGTATATCATGATCAAAAACTTATAGATACCCTTTAGCTAGCTAAAAGTAGAATACTGTATAAACTTTGTGTGATGTTTATCAATGGTAAATGGAATTAATGTGATAAAATCATTGTATGCATGTGAGTAAATATATGAATGTGATTTTGTTTTGATTTAAGAATAATTTTAAATACTTGATATTATTTTAAAGAAATATAAGCTGCTTTCTTGAAATTTATCATAAAAATGTTAATTAGTTAAGTGTTTATTTGAAATTGAAAATAAAATTAAAAATTAAAAAATTCATTGACATTGAATAATAATTGTATGGAAATGAATCCATACAGTTTCTTTACAGAACAGAATGTAAATAAAAATACTTGTAAATTTTGTAGTAGCCATGCTGTGGTTCAAGTTATTGTCCAGTTGTTTGTAGGAATTGAAAATATTTTTATTGTTACTGTTCAAGTTTAATTTGTATGTTATAAAAATAGATAATCATATACATTAATTGCTTTAAATAGAATGTTCTACTGTCAGATTTCTTAAACTGAACCTGAAAAACATTTTAAGCAAAATTCTCAATCCCTTCAACAGCACCAACATAGCACTACATCATACACACAAACTTTAGGGTATAATTTTTTTCTTTCTCTTTGCTACAAGAACATTGGAACTATTGTCTCCTATTTATCTTTTTTTTTTTTTTAAAAAAAACGATGGAGAATATTGTACAATAAAGTCTCTATTCCTAAGGAGGTCATACAAAGAGAAAGATGGGTTTCCAGTATCTACTTGCAACAATTACAGCAAAAACAACTAAATGGTGTAATGCTCCACATTGATGGTGCCATTGCTAACCATTAAATAAGAGTTGCCTTCTGTAGCTACATTATATTTATTAACGTTCTCATGCTCCTACATTCCTTTTCATCATGCTCTTGATCACCACAAAATAAGCATTGTAGTGAGCATGTATATGCATATGCATATATATATATATATATAAACAAAAGCTATTAAATTAAGACCATCTCTTCATGGTCAAAATGAGTTCATTTTAACATGGCTTTGAAGGTTGCAATAAATTTGGTGAGAGTTGGTGAGATTGAAAATGGTTTGGGTCTATTTCTATTGTCAAGCATTTGTCAAAGCTAGTTATTATTGAGTTAAGAAAAATGAAATAATGCTATGCATGATGTCTAATAGTTTAAAAGATGATTTTCAAAGTAAGGTCAAAATTGGTGTTTCTCCTTAAATCATTCCAAAATCTAACAAAAAAATGGAACCTATAATATCATTATTTTATTTTTAGAAGATGAAAATAATTAGAATCAAGTGACTGAATTCATGTGGATGAGGTGTGCATGTAAGAGCCTTGGAGAGGTGTAATGTCTCTTATTTGCTTTTGGACTTTTCAAAGAGGGACTAGAAACATTCACTAATTTAATTCCATGCTTACATTATAATAAAAAAAAATTAATACATATATATGTAAATACATTACAGAGAGAGAGAGAGAGAGAGAGAGTAGTATTTATATCTCAAGCATCCTCTTCTCCACTCAATTCACAATTTCCACTAATTTATTCTGTTTGTTTTAAATTGCAAAATTTTAAATCTTGAAAAGAAACCATGGAACATTGAGAACTCTAACTAAAGCATTCAAACTATCACAACTCACCCTCTTTTTTCTTTCTTCTAAATTTTTATTTTTATATGTATACATGTGAATGTGTAGAGCACTAAGTCTACTTTTCATAGTCCATCACACATCGAATGCAACCTCCTTGATTCAAGAGTTCAAAGGCCTCATTAATCTTAGAAAAGGGCAATTTGTGGGTGATGTAGTGATCCAAGTTAATGTGCTGCACCATCATCAAACCAGTGGAAAAAGAACAGAAGAACATTAGAACTTCAGTATGAATATGTATATTTCACAATTAGCAATATGTGAAAAAATACTAAAAAATCAAAAATGCATTTGCAACACTACCTACAATAGAAGACCTTTTAAAATGAAACATTTGATAATTTTATTTGGAAAAACAGCTCTCTCTCTCTCTCTCTCATTTCTCAATAGTTGTGCTATTATAGCTTGGGCGATTTGTGATTTGAAGCCAAAAGCAAAGGAGAGAATGTGAGTGAGGTAAGGAGAGAGAAAGGACCCCTTTGATGCATCGGTCAACAAGGTCGGGGAGCTGCGATCGGCCCTTGTATCCACCAAACAACCCAGACGTCCACACTCGGCCCCACAACAGCAGTGCTGGATGGAAGCTCACCCTCTGTGATGACTCGACCAGCCCCAGTATGCATGACACCCCTCCCCACTACAATATCCCCCCCCCACACACACACACTCACACATTCTCTTAGCATTTCATTCATTCATGTTATTATAATGCATAGCAAATACAATGAAACAAATTTTAGGGCATTGAACATCTTCAGTTTTTTCATGTAAAACACAAAATTTTCTTCAATGCCGATTGAATGTCTGATTTGATCATTGAGGCTTGACATTTTGCAGCAATTGGGGGTTTCAATATTGTCTTGATTGTGCCAGTTGCACTGTTGTGAGTGTGATCATGATTTTAGGAATCAAGGAGTTGATTCTAACATGCTTGAAGCAGTTTTTTAAAAAAATTGCTAGCAAACATTGTGATGTTCTCTGAAAGATGAACACAACATGAACAATCCAACAAGTGGCATTGCTTATAAGTTTTTGTTCACCCATATACTCAGGATTATTTATCTACACTATATTATTATTCAGTTAATAAGTATTGTTAAATAATGGGCTTACTTCCACACAGCATTCAAGGGCTGATTTGATGATGCCAGGGTCACCAGTGCAGTCAAAGCTGTAGTCTACACCACCACCAGTCATATCCCGGATCACCTGTCCATGTCCCCCACACAACCCACCAGCCACATTGATAATTTTTTTCAAGCTAGTGAGGGACTTTATATGTGTGCATACATTTATTCATATGTACACACAGACACACAACTGCTGCTACTCAGTAGAGAATATGTTCCTGTGAACATCTCCTTTTGCCCACCAGGAGGCAGTCACAAAGTGGTCTTGTATGCATTGATAGATCCATAGCCAAGCAAAGTACTCTTTCACCCACCCCCTCCCTTTCTTACCTGCTCAATGGGCTTGTCAAAGGACTTGATGTTGAGAGTGTCTGTGAGTCCAAACTCCATGGCTGCATTCATGAAAAATAAAACAAACAGCTTACATAACATAACAAATATATCCATTGGGTTCAATATAAGAAAGAGACATTTTTTTCCATTTTAGTTACAAAGTAAAAGAGAATATATATGTATATATACATATATATAAAACAATAATGCAAAATAATAATGATGGGCAACAAGGGAGGGTGGGGGGGGGGTTGTGGGTTGTAATGGGGGGATGGGAGTGGGAATGTGATTTTGTCAACCTCTCTGCAATTTGCCAGCATCCCTGGCAACTCCAATGATCCGAGAGCACCCTGACACCTTACATGCCTCCACCACCTTACATGCACACGGCAACATCCCCCCCCCCATAGAACAAACATGGCCCCCCATTCAGCCAAGCCAATCAGGTAGAATGAAAGAGAGCAGGAAAGAAAAGGGAGGGGGGAAAACATTTATATATATATATATATATATGTGTGTGTGTGTGTGTGTACACACACACACACACAGAATGAATTAGCAATGTAGAGAGAGAGCACTGGCACTCACAGCCAGTCCAATTGTCCCAAGTCCAAACACAGCTACAGTTGACCCTGGATGGACTTTGCATATATTCCACACTGACCCAACTCCTGCCATTTAATTACCCCCTCCCCCATCCAACCAATGTAACTGCAGCATTAATTAAAACAACACCATCAACAAAAACATTGCTTTAATTGTGGTTAACAAAAAAACCAAAATGGGTAATCCTTGGAACTCATCTCAAAATCTTCCAAAGGAGTAATAAAACACACACACACACACCTGTGGGAATGCCACAACCAAGGAGACAGATTTTGTGGAGCTCGGCCTTGGGGTTGATTTTGGCAATACAGGCCTCATCCATGGTGGAGTACTGGCTGAACACAGAGATGCCAAAGAAGTGGTAGATGGGTTTGCCATCTTCCACACGGGTGAAGCGTGTGGTGGCCTTATCGGAGGGCATGAGGCCGCTGCCCCAATTGAACATGAACACATCACAAATGTTGGTCTTGCTCGACTTGCATTTGCCACACTTGGTGCACTCACACTGCCATACTGGGATGCACTTGTCTCCTGCCTTTATGTGCCTCACTTGTGCTCCAACACTCTCACATATTCTATCCATCCAGACACAAATATACATAAATGAATTAAACAAACTAAATAAATAATCCTTTAATACACTGTTTTATTGTTGAAACATCATTGAAATTTGTGCTTTTATTGAAGGAAATAAAATCAAAAGCATGGTCTTATTTTCATTCTTATTTTTTAAGTAGGAAGAAAACCAATGATATGTCAATCTTGCTGTCTTCCCTTTTTTTTTTCCAAATAAAAGTGAAACAATGAGTTGTTTGTGTTTTTGACTGTAGGATGTAATGAGTGTGTTTATTCATTAGTAAAGTGAAAATGAAAACAGAATAAATTGAGATTTGAGTGATGCAGATTTTAGTGAGGTGAGTGTGAAGTAGATGTGATCTATGCATGGATTATGGTAAATGGATTTTGGGTTTGTACCCAGCCCCTTCATGGCCTAAGATTCGTGGAAACAACTTTTGTGTATCCTGAAATGTATTTACCACACAGTTTCTATCTCTTTAGAAAAATATTTGTTCAGCCAAACTATGTATACACACATATATACATACAAATAAAAACAAATGGGCACATGAACAACTGATTAATTAAATAGCTTCTGTTGGTTGGTTGGTTGGTCGGTTGTTGTTTTTTTTATTTTTTTTGTTTTTTTTTGTACATACTCAATACCTTGCCCTTCCAGAAGTAGAGGTCTGATTGGCAGATGCAGGCATGGGTAATTTTGACACGGACTTCTGTGGGTTGAGGGGGTGACACATGAATATCCTCAAATGACAGAGGCTTGTTGGCCTCATATGCCACCCCAGCTGCATCACCACCATCATTTACACTTCCAATTACTAGAAAACAAAATCACTCAGAATGCAGAGAATAATCCATTAGCAGTGGAAGGGAAGGAATAGGAAACAAGGAGAAAGTAGCAAAAACAGGACAGGAGAATGGAAAGCCCTAACTCAAATCACCCACCTGTTTTATTTGCAACTGAAGAATGGTTGCAAACAGGGAAATATGAGAGGCTGAGAGAAGAAGGATTAGGGCATCCATGTGTGTGTGTGTGTTTTGTGTGTTCTGTTTTGTGAGAGAGGACAGGGATTGTGGGGAAGAAAAACCTTCACAATGCTTGCAAACCCTTACCCTTGCATTGGATGCGTTTGCCAGCAGTGGCAGCAAAGCTTGCAGCTATGTGAGAATCCTGAATGATTTGGGGAGGACCACTTCCACCATCACCCTTACATGAACATGGGGAGCACATATTAACTCCCACCCTCTCACTCTCTTTCCCCCTATTTTCTATCAAACTTCACTCCACTCACACAGACACCCTTTGATCTCTCTCTTTCTCACTTCATTCTGTTTCACATACTCACAAACTCACACACAAAGCAAACACTGTAACACTCACTCTTCCTTTGATCATCACCACCACCAACACAGCATATGAAGAAGTTATGAATGTGGGTACTACTGCTACTACCAAGACTAGCAGTACTATGGCATTAGAGCAGCAATTGTTTTGAAGGAGGAGGAGAAAGAAGATGAAGGACACAGGAGAGATGATGGATAGTAGGAGTAGAAGAATCAAGTGCAATAGGAGGAATAGAAATAGGAGAGATACCCTTGCATGTGATAACTTTGCCTTCTGTTGCAGCCATGGTCCTCAACACTCCAAAACCACTACCCAACAAACAATATGGGGAAAAAAAGATGATAAAAAAAAGGGAAAGAAACACCCACAAAGACTGCCCACAAATATGAAGGAGCAAGAAACAACTACAACAGCAACAACTTACACAACAGAGAAAGAGATGATGAAAACTTCTTAACTAGGTCAAGGTTTATTCTCCTTTGTTTTTGTTTTTTTTGTTTTTTTTGTTTTTCTGTTTCTATACACTTGCATGTTTGAATATGACGAGTTTTTTTTTTCCCTTCAACACAACTTGTAAATTCACTTTTTTCTTTCTCTTTCCTCTTATTTATTAACATTTCTTGTTATTTTTATTATTTTTATTCTTTTGTGTGTTGGTTGGGTTTTGAATGGATGTTTTGTCAATGTTGGATTCTAAGGGATACATGTATGGAGCAATGGTGCCCCTTTAACTCCACTTCAATAGGGGTTCTCTCTCTCTCTCTCTCTCTCTCCCCATCCCTTTGATTTATCACAAAAGAATAGTAATACAAATAAGATGGTAATTATTGGGTGAAATTCATGTGCCATAATTTTTCATGTTCATCCATTTCAAAGCCCACAATGATCTGTGAGCCAGCACTGAGTGAACTGATTCCATCACACCTGACAATGTCTGGAGACAGCCCCACACCTTGCAAGGTTTCACACATTGCCTGTGAACCATTTTGTTCTCAAGGACCATTTTTTCAAGTGTTTGTAAGTCAAATGTTACTTTTGTAAGAAATTATAGACAAAGAACTTGAAGATGGATGAGGTGGGAATGACATGGAATTCTGTATGTTAACAATAAATGGTCACAACATAGTTCAGTCAGAAACCATCTTGAAATGGTTCAAATGAAGGTGTTCAAAGTTGCCCTACTTGTAATACCTTCAAAACCATGCTTGTTGATTCTCAAGGTTTAGTTGGAAAAAGATATTCATTACAGTATCACATAATTTTGTGAACAATGGGTCTCACCCCCTCTAAAGGACATCTCAATCAAACATATGTTTCATATTCAATATAATACTTCCTTAAAATATCAGATGTAATAGTACACAACTGGTTTTGTCTAAATTATTGAATTGATACCAAATGCTTCCAGATACATTAATTATTTTGTCCAAGATTATCACTTCTTTCAAAAAAAAATCAAAAAATCTTCTGCTTCCAAATGGAAGTCTGTCCTGCCTCAATCCAACTTTGCATGCACAAATAATGGAAATTCTTTTATTACCCAAGTATCCAAATCTCCTCCACTTTTCTTTTTTGTTACATAGACCAATCACAGAAATTAGTTTTGTGGACATCAAACCCCTCTCATTGAAAGAAGTTAGAATGAATCCATAGGGTTATATTTTTGCAAAGCTCATAAAACACTCCAAAAACAAGCCATGGCCATCACACAGATGGTCAAGTATTCAGAAATGCCATTGAAAAGCAATGCCATTTTCTTGTTGGCGTTGGAACCACAAAGATGAAGTTCCAACTTGTGCAATCAAAAAAGGGTGTGTGACACCTTGGCACTTCTCCCAACGCCAGGTCACCAAAATAAGATTTGGTTGTGCCATGTCAGCATGTGTTTGAGTATGTGGCCTTCTTGCAAGGCCAATCGCAGCCCCACATTCGCAGAATCAGCCAAATTTGGTAATCAAAACCTGGTGGCTTGGAATGATAAAAGAAGTCAAAGCTTTTGGCAATATTAAAAATGACCCACTATTTGGACTTTGACCTGGGACTCTAATGAATGTTAAATGGCTCAAATTTGCTGAGGTCGTGTTCACACACATTGTTCACAGTGTTAATGTGTTGATATATATACATATATATATATATATAGAGAGAGAGAGATATGAATGTGTGTGAATACGTAAATTCAGTAGGAAAGCTTGAAGTCAATGATGGTGGCTAAACATTTTTTAATTCAAAAAAACAAAAGCAGATGTATGGAGTCCACCAAATTCAGGAAAATGGTTGAATGAATCATTTATTGATGTTGATCTTATGTTTAGTGTAATTTTTGAGTTGGACTTTTTGCAGTAGTAGTAATTTATTTCTTGTTTGATATTTCATATTATAAAAAAATATAAAATAGATCTTTGTTAACACTATCATATTCAAGAAATAAAATATTAAATAGATATATCATATTTTTAGCTTCAAGACGCAGATTTTTTTTTAAAAGACTTTTTATTAATTGGTTGCAATATTTTCTTCCCTTTGAGGCAAATAAATATTTTTAAACAAGAAATAAAAAAATAATTTGTTACTTCTAATTTAAAACACAATAGTAGATACTAATTATATGCTTTAATGATTTTGACAAAAATTCAAGAAACTCATTTATATAATATATTTATGGTTCTTTGTATTGTTACAAATCATAACTAAACTCAAATTGCCATCCAAATATTAGTTTTATTCTTAAAACAAATTACAATAATATAAGGTTTTTAGTTGCAATTTTTATGAAAAGTCATGGTTGCTAGGATTTTCTTCAAATGAAAAAATAGATTAAATCATATTACTATTAGTAATAGAGTTTTATTTGATGTCAGATTTGATGCATTTTTATTTATTTTTAAATATCTGTAAAAAATTAGATAATATTAAATTAAGGTTGTACATAAAATTATTTTTAATCTTAGAATTTTATTTTTTCATTATATTTTACTTTGATTTATCTTTGTAAGTTGGTTATGTAAGTGATGTAATAATTAAGGATATTTAATATATATATATATATATATATATATATATATATATATATCGTTTCAGTTTATAAATTCCATATAACTCCAAACTTAACATAAAATTCATGAAGTTTTCTAATCTATCATATTTTATATTATTTTATGATATTTTTGTAAATCCTTATTTAAAATGGTATCTCAGAAGCTCTAAATAAGTTGGGTAAAACATACATTTTTTCATCTCAGTATATAATCTCGTCTTCCTTATTTTTATAACATAATGAAATTTTGTTACAAATATACTTTCTTTCTTTAGATTACATGAGAATATCATTTTAACAATAAATGAAAAATTATCTAAAATTTTATAAAATATATTGGATATCAAATGTTGAAAGTTAGTTCGAGCTTTTGTAGATCTTAAAGACAAAAATTAAATTCAAAATGGGCTAACTTGGTTCAATATTTAATCTTCTATTGATTGTCTTGGTTGCTATGTTTCAGATTGTAGGATCTATGTAGAGCTATTTTAGAATAAGTATTAGTTATATTTAATTGTTTAAAAATATTAAATATCAAAGATAATAGATAATAATTTTTAAAGGTTAATTTTAATAGCCCTCCGTAGTTTACATATATTTGCAATGGTAATTGTTATTTTTCTTTGCAAAAAAGATTGGTATATTTTTACAAGACTTTGAATGTCAAATGAAATTGTTAATTAAATTTTCATTGTAATATTATTTGAAATAAATTAATATATTTTTCAATTAATTATGAATATTATCAAATGTGAGTTGAACTCTTTTTAACATTCAATTTCATAATCTTAAAGAAAATATTTATATCAAATATTAATATCGATTTTTTCAAATACATCTTAATATCTCTTATATTTTTTAAAACTTTTTTCTATTACCTGTTTTTTTTGAGGGCTAAGTGTTGCATTAAATTAAAAGAAAAAAAAATAATTATTATGATTCTTGCATTAGTGTCCTTGATCCAACAAATAGGTGTTTTATTTTTCTGCAATTTTCTAAACATGAAATTTGAAATGATGTTTCTGAATCACAAAGAAATTAAAGACTATACATTGTCGAATCCTTTTTAAAATTGTACTATTATTACTTTAATAATAAATTACCATTATTTCTAATAACAGTAATAGTAAATAAGTAATAATAAAGTTAGAATAACATGATCACTTAGAAACTTAATAATAATAAATACTATTGAATTACAATGACTAAATAAGTAGTTTAAGGAAAGATTTTATAAATGGTATGTTTAAAAGATAAGAGTGTGCGATTTATGATTCCTGCATGCAGCATTTTGGAATTTTCTATTGAAAGTAGTTACATCATCTAACAAAGCTTTTGATAAAAAATAAACAAACATTTTCAAATATAATAATAAAAAGGCAATAATCAAACAATTTTTAGATTCTAAATAAATTTTGTATTAAGATAATTAATATATTTAAATATAGCTATAAAATATCTATTGTGATTATTAAATATGTTCTTAAATAAAAATAGATTTAAGATTTCATTCTTTTTTTGTAGTTATATTATTTTTAAAGAAATTGTAGATAAAATATTTTGATTCTTTACAATGTAACCACGATCTTTGTTGTTAATTTTATACTTTTTATTATATAAGAAGAAGTTTAAATCTTAAAGCATTTATATGAGTAGATATTGGATTAGATTTTATATCTTAATTATTAGAGAAGTTTCTTCTAAAAGTTTATAATCACTAGAGGATCATTGCATGATTTTTTCTTAAGAATTCAATTTTTATTTATTATTGCTTGTGATAGATATTTTATTTTTCTCACGTAATATTTGAATATTAGGAGAAATTAGGAATTTTATTTAATAATATGATATAACATGTAAGACTATTGATACTTAAGAGCAGAACTATTGTATGTGATATTATTTACTATTAATTAAAATTTTAAAATACACATAGACAAAGACCAATATTTTTATTACAAAGTCCAGATTATTTTGCTTCTTATATAAATTACATCATGTAATCTATACATAAATAATAATTTTGATAGAATTGTGTCATATTTTATTATTTTAAAAATAATGCATATATATATATATATATATATATATATATCTATATATAGATCCACACTTTTATTAAATAGACACACTTTTAATAAAGAATATGGTAATTATGATGAATGTTGTTGTTGTTGTTGTTGTTGTTTTTTTTTTTTTTTTTTTTTTTGTTTTGTTTTTTTATTACAATGGTAGTAAAAACTTGAGTCTATTCATCATTCTCTTTTACATATTCTCTTTTATATATATTAAAAAGAAGAGTCTAATAGAGTTTTAATGTCAAGTTTTACTTGATTGGTGAATTATCTTAGGTTGGATTTAGCACCATCAAATATTTGTAAATGAGCAATATTTAGTCCTTTAATGAATGGAACTATATTTGTAGAAGCCTCTTGATATAGTATAGGTGAAAAAAATAACTTTTAACATCTCTATAATATTTTGTTTAGTCACTTCTAAAATCAATTAAGATGGTAAATATAGCTTAGGCTTAACAAGCATTAAATATCTTATTTTTTCCTATTTTTGTCAAATAATATTTTTTATTTCTACTATTTGTATTGTAAGTTGAATAATACAAGAGATTTTATCCAATAAAAAAATAAATAATAAATATATTATAAATTTAAAAGAAAAAATACACAAGTATCAAATATTATTATGCTTTAAAGACAAAATATATTTTTTTTATGAAGAAAAATTAAGATTTAATAAGATTTATATTTATTTTCTAAAAATATCAAGGACATCAATTCAGAAAAATATATAAATAGGTAATATAGTTATCTAAAATCAATAATTTTTTATTAGTATTTTTTATTTTACTTATATGCTAAAACCTTTTATATGCTTAAATACAAAATGCCATTGTTGATTGATTGCATAAGTTAACATAGTAGCATTATTCAAATTTATAAATTTTACATAATTAACATAATTTTAAACAATGAATTTAAAATACGAAAGAGTAATAAAGAACAAATAAAATAATTTAAAATATAATATAAAATTATCTGTTTTAATAAATGTTAAATGATCATTACTATCCATTGTAATTATATTTTATATTAGCCATTAGTGTTAAATAAGATCTCATTATAATATATTATAAATAAAAATATTTAAAAAAGAAATTGAAAGAACCACAACTATATCAATCAAGATATTGGACTATTTGTGTTAAAATAAATTTATATAGAATGTAGATGAATTAATTATAGAAAAAAAAATATTTTTTTCTTATCAATA